CCCCGCCCTGCCAACAACCCATCGGCTCCACACTACAGTGACAGTGTGTCTGCTACAGGCCATAGGTCGCAGTGGTGATCATTGTGTTTCAAAGCCCCAAGTGCCACAAAGCAGCTTGAGTATTCCTAAATTATATTTAAAAACAACTAAAGTGGGGGGGGGAAAAGGAGGGGGGAGACGAGTGGGAGAGGGCAGGAGGGGATTGTGCATGTATTGGTGGATCTTACTTGGGGTTGCATGAGGAAAGGAGAGAGCAAGAACCATTGCTCTGAAAGAACTCCAAACTCCAGTTTCTGTGCGCCCCTCTCTTCTCCTCAAGTCCCACACTCTCTCCGGAGGAATTAAAACAAGTTTTAATTAAAAAATAAAAATAGAAAAACACGCACAGCCAGACAAAAAAAAAAAAAAAAAAAAAAAAAAAATAAAGACCCCGCTGCAGGGATGAGAAGTATATTTCTCCCTGTATGTCAGCTCCAACAATCCCATCCTCCATGGGACCAGGTGCCTCTCCAAAGAGATCCCTCGGCGTGTGAGGACCACTTGGAACAGGGAAGGCTGGCACTTCTCCCAACAGCCAGAAAAGAAACCGCAGAGAAGCCACCCAAGGAAAGGAAGCCCGAGTCAATGATTAGGCTGTTGCCACAATTCCCCTCACAGCTTAAAATGTGTTTAATGCTTGAGAAAATAAATTCCATTATAATAATAAAAATCAGACTTCTACCATCAAGTGTGGCTGGAATCTGATTCCCTCCTGGCCCACAAGGCTCCTGAAAAGAACAAAACCAAAAAAAAAGACCAAAAAAATGCTTCACCCACCCACCACCAACCCCTGCCCTCAGAAAAAAAGGAGAGCAAAGTTTAAATTTATATGGCTAGAAACCATATGATTTGAAAACAATATTATAAAAAAAAAAATTAAAGCAGGAGAAGATATCCAAGAAGAAAAAAAAAATAAAAATAGAAATCAAAACCAGGAGCAGAGTCAGGAGAGGGAACTGAGGGTAGCCAGTGGGGGCAGCAGTAGGGGCTGAGGGGCAGTGCAGGTGTTCCCACACGGCTCCCACGTCGACAGCTCCTTGGAGGCGCTCACGCCGGGGACAGGTGGCCCTCTGGAAACGGCTCACACCAGCGCGGGGGCACAGCTCGACTCCTCATCGTTGGCAAAAAGAAATTCTGTTGGGTTTTTTTGTTTGTTTGTTTTTTTTGCCTTTTATTTTTTTTTAGGTTTTTGTTTGTTTGTTGGGTTTTTTGTTTTTTAAAAGAAAAATACAGTGAAGACACTAAAAAGAGAATTCAAAAGAGAGAAAAAAGCAAGAGATGTTAGGAGTAAAGGCTTTTCCCAGCACTTCCATTGCCAGTTGGAGTGTAACAAATCAAATCAGCCTTTTCTTCTACACTCCTGCCTCCCCTCAGAGGTACCTCGCCCAGCTACTGTGGTTTTCTCTACAAGAGGCACTCAGTAGCTGTACAAAGTCTTGCACACTTGATTACCTGCTCAGCACCCTCCACCCCAACACTGTCACACTGCCAGAAAAGCATTCATGAGGAACTAATGAAATGGCTCCCCAGCCCAGCACCTTCTCCACCCTTCCTATCCTCCTGGAGAAAGGGAAGCTACCTTTACAACTAAGACAATCTGTCCCCTCAAGGTTTTGGCAGTTAACGTTACTCTTTCCTCTGAAACCAAAAAACATCTCAAAGTAAGTTGAAAGGAAAGGAAATATACCAATCCCCCACAACAACATAAAGTCTTAACTTAAGGCTTTTTTTCCCAGCAATTTCCTCCTTAGGGGCTCCCAGGCATGAGTACAGGCTCACCTAAGCAAACACTGGTCCAGTGGCAATTGCTCCTCACTTCCCAAGGTGATCAAATGGCACACTTGTCTACAAAAGAAAAGGAAGAGTTGCTAAGGGCTGGAGAGGAAGAAAAAAGAAAAAAAGGCACCAAAACAGAGCCTGCACATTTCTCTCAGGACACCCTCCCTCTCAAGAGTTCACCATTTTGCTTCTCCAAACCACTGTGGTCTGGAATACAAGATGAAGGCTTACTCCAAGCAAAGCAGAGCTAAAATGGCAGCATGGCCTCCAGAAAATACAAAACAGAAGAGCAAGGGTGTACCACTCCCCATACCACACCAGAAGCTTCCAGCTCATGTCAGCTCCAGCAAATCAGGCAAAAACTGCTCTGGGGCCTGCAGACCTTCTGGGATATCCTGGCCAAGGCCAGGAATACTGCAGCAGGAGCCCACCTGTGATGCTGAAATCCGTGACACTTCTTGCCGCCCTGTGAGGTCAGATGAGGAGACGTTGGCAGGAGCTCCTCGGTGTAACCTCATGCTGACCTTCCGCTCCCTGTCCACTCTTGAGATTGCTCTGGGGGACGTGTTGCCTGTTGGGGCAGAGAAATGTTGAGACAAGAATATTACAATATCAGTTTTGGTTTCCTGCCAACAACAGGGGTGGCACCCTCCCCCAGCTTTCCCACCCCCCCTCACCGGACTGCTGGATTCGGGAGGTGGGGGTGGAGGCCATGGGCTCGGTGACATTGCGAAGACGGTTGGCAGTGGCTCCGGCAGGTGGGCCAGGGGGCAGCGCTCGCGTGGCTGACCCTCGGAGTTGCCCCATCCTCTCCTCTCGCTCGTGCTCTCGCCGCTCCCGATCCATATCCTCAGGGTTCCGGGCTGCTCCCTGAGTAGAGAAACCCCCACACCACACACACAGCTGTCAGGCAGGACAAACAGCAGCAGCCCCAGACAGAAAACACACGGTGCTCCATTACGCCAAGGAAGTGGGGCCCTTCCCCAAAACTCCCCCCACCATCTTGCACTGCACCAAGAAAGGACCTCATTCTATTCCAAAACAAAACACATAAGAAAACACATGAACTACAGCTGTTATTGCAATCCACATCTGTATCCCAGCTCCAAATGTAGCTCTCTCCTGAAAAATTCTCTCTACCTACCTCTAGCTATAGATCTACTGACACACATGCTCCATCAGACACACTCACTAATAGAACAGTAGCTATATCCCCAGTTAGTTATACACCAAACAACTGCCTCTTTTTCACTCTACCTGGTCCCGTTGCTCAAGCTGTTCACCAGCAGTAAGCACAGAGAGCAGGCAGTTTCCAACCTTCCTCCCCCATGGTTTTTATCTCCATGATACAAACCAACCCTGGTCCAGCCCTTTTGCCAAACACACTCACAAATTTAAGCATGTTCCAGTCAAAGACGTAGTCGTAGGAGAAGCCTTGGCGGTGGAAGAGGTTGCGGAAGAGCTGCCGCAGGTACGAGTAGTCAGGTTTATCATCAAACCTCAGTGAACGGCAGAAGTTGAGGTATGTTGAGAACTCAGCTGGAGAGAGCAGAGAATAGCTGATGGCTGTTGTTGGCCATTCAACCTCCCTGGTCCCACCATGGAGCCGCTGCAGCCTTTCAACAGCAGCTTGCTGGAGCAGGACAGCACAAACACAGAACTGTGTAACACAAACAGCCTGCTGGTGGCAGGGCTTTGGCCACCAAAAGGACTCCATCTTTCTTTTTACCAGAGAAAATGTTATGCATCTCCTTTTGTCGGCTTCTCCAAGCAAGACTAGCAAGTCACAGCACCTGCTGAAGGACAGCAGGAATGCAGGCCTAAAGAGCTGGAGATGAGCTTTGGGAAGTTCAACTCAGAACAGAAGTCCTCCTATCTCAGTAGCCTGTCATAAGCAGTGGCCAGAAGTAGATGAGAGGAGAAAGAGTGAGGCAGGTACGTCTGATACTTCCACTGACATTAGCTCAGCACCTGCTTTCAGCTCCAGGAAAGGATGTAGTTCCTGATCGGGATGTACTTCCTAACTATTTAGTAATCCTCACAGGATCTCTCTTCCACATACTTGTTCCGTCTCTCCTTGAACTCCTGTAAGATTTAAGTATCCACAACATCTTCTGCGAAGGAGTTCCACAAAGTCTACTACTGGCTGTGTGAAGAACCATATCCTTTTGTTTTGAAGCTGGCAGAAACCAGCATTGTTTCTCTTCCAATAAAAAAAACTGGGGCCACGAAATTACCAGCTCCCATCCAAACTTCGGTAGGCATAGCCAAAGAGAAGACTTCTATCATCTTTCTACCCACCTCTTTTTCCAGCAAACTTGTTACTTGGGCAGAAATCAACTCACCTTTGGTCACCCTTTTGGCCCTTTCCTGGGCCTTTTCTCATTTATACCATATCCTTTGTGAAACCATGGGATGGACCAGACCTACGCAGTGCATTCAAGGTGCAAGTGGGCCATGGATTTACACACATTATTTGGGCTTCTTTTCTAGTAATTCCTAACACTCCCTTTCCTCAGCAGCCACTGATCACAAAGATGATGTTTTCACAGAGCCATCGACTGTAATTGCAACAGCTCATTGGTGAGTGGCACTGGTCAGCCAGCACCTACTATTGTGCACATGACATAACGATCAAGACTTCTCTCTGTTCTCACATACATTACTTCATGTTTACCTACAAAGAACTGCATTTGACACTTTACTGCCTTGTTATTCCTGGGATTCCTCATTAACCAGTAAAAATTTAGCATCATCAGTATACCTTCTCAGCTCAACACCCACCCCCCTTTAAAATGCTCACAAAGTCCTAAAGATCCCCCCCACTCAGCACTCTCATGCCCTTACTAATTTAATTTTGACTGTCCACAAAAACACATTTCCCACTTCTGAACCCAAACTGTACCACGACCTCTCTGTTATCCTTCTCATCACCAGTGTCAGCAGCAGCACATCTTTGTCTGAGGTACTGGGCACTGCCCTTTAGGACTCAGGATTCCGGGGAGTTTCAGCAGGTGAACAAGCCAAGCAGCAGACAAGACAGCCATCAAGTTGAGAGCACTTACAAGGGTACCCTTTGCAGAGCACCTCGATGGGCGTTGACATCTTTTTCTCGCTGATCCTCTCATACTTTTGGCGCTTGGTGGCAGCCTTGAGGCCCTGCCAGGGCAGCGAGCCCAGGTTGAAATACATGAGCACATAACCCAGGCTCTCCAGGTCATCACGGCGACTTTGTTCTGTGAGAAGTTACAAAGGGGCAAGGAGTGAGCAGCGACCAAAACTGCTTTGGCAATCACATAGCTTTGGAGGTGAAAACTGAACAGAACAACCGCCCCTCTCTCTTTTCTGGTAGATTTCTATAGATAGTCAAACTTGTAGAAGACATTCCAGAGCAAATTCCTGTGATGATGATCATACTACAAGAGTTGAGGTGATCCTCTCCACATACTGCCCAACCCACTTCATAACTAATGACTCTGACTACCTCCTCACTTGGACAAGCCTTAATTCACACAAGAATTTCACATCTCAAGAACTGCTGCAGCAACCCTGCCTACTTTGCTCTTCCCAGTCCCAGAGGAAGGGCACCTACACTTCCCCACCCAGAATGATTCTTCAGTCCAGGGATTAGTCATGACAGAGGTAGTCACAGATAGACAAAGCTAACAGTAAGTCCAACACAGCCCTGTCAAACACATCTTCTAATTAATCTGCTGATAGTCTTTAAGCAGAGCAGGACAAGGAACTAGGGACCCCTTCTAGTAGTAAACAACTTTGTTGATAGTTCGTTGGTAGTAGAAGCCTAACATGTAATGTGCAAAGATGTCTTTCCAGCTTGGTGACATTTTTTCAAGCTGTGGCAGAAAGGAGCATACTTTGAAGAAAAGATTCACCTCCAAATGGGGAATGACTGTGTAACTAGCATCACTACCAAATCTACTCCGACCAAAGGTTGCCCTTGCCTCCCATTGGAAGGACCCATCTTTAGATGCTTACTTATGAAACAAAAGAAATTGGCTCACAAAAAATACCCCCAACATTTCACACTGACCTTGTGCTCTGGAATAGCCAAGCCATTTTAAGTTTCAAGCTAGCTCAAGAATGACTTGATGCAGAATCTCAACAACTGCAAATATTACCTGGTTAACTCCTCCAACATTGCTTGCAAATTCATCTATAAATCTTGCCAAGATTGTCTTGCTCTTGTTTCCCTCCCAAATAAAATAAACACTTTGGAGAAAGTATTTTACATCTTCAGAACAACAACTGACACAGATAACAGGCAGGCAAAATATGGCTTAAAGGAGAGCACAGGGATGGAGGAAAGACTAAAGATCTTAATTTATCATATTAACTTACTACAGCACATTTTGCTGGATTCAGTGCCACATCCTGGAAGATGCTACAAATTATGTACTAGTCTGTGGGCTGTATCAGATGCATGCTACCACCTGCCCCATTCCAAGCCCAGTAGATCACTACAGCTGTCCCTTTTTCTGTTAACTGAGCTGAATCTTGACAGAAGAGTACCTGTAGCATGTCACAGATACACATGTAACAACAACACAAGCTGTGGGGCACAAGGCTCCTTCTTCCTCATGAATCTCTCTCATAACCTCCTAGTTATTTTGAGAACTGAGGGCTTGCCAAGTTAGAACTGTTGAGTAGGGAAAAAAAAGTACTGTGGTTGCAGAAGAAAAGGAGGGTCTCATCATCTGATAGGAGAGATCATTTGGGTTAAAGCACATGAAACTCTATCAAAATGCCACGTTCCAAGATGGCAGAGGAGAGAGCAGCCCTGCACATTCCTAAAGTGTCTCACTTTGAGCATGTAGAAATCCCAGCATTTTTTGACCTCACTAACTTACTATCTCAAGTTGCCCACTTTAAAGGGGCTAATACTTCCTAATCTTATCAGGCTACTGCCAAAGATAATTACATGGCTGTCTAGGAGATACTTAGATGCTATGACAGGAGCAGAGAAAAGAAACCCAGTTTTGCATTTAGCCTAAGGTTGGGATACGTGTACTCTCAGAGGGCTGCGATTACTCACCATGCATATCAAATAAACAAAACTAAACAATATTGGCTAATGACCTACATCCCTAGACAGGAGGCATGTGGAAATGGAGTCAGAACACACACCCAGGGCTTGAAAGCACAGGAGACAAGGATAACCTCAGTCCTGTAGTCTTGCCAGCCCTTGACTGATCCACACTGTAGCTTTAACACCTCTAGCTGAGGCTTCTTGACTAGAGAGCATGGTGGTTCCCATCAGAGGAGTAGGGAAAGGCAGGGGAAGAACCAGAGAAACCTACTGAACAAGCAAATCAGCCTTTCAGGAATAAATCAGGATGCTGCCTCCAAAATCCTGCTTGGACTCCAAACTGCTTAGGGCAGGCTGAATAACACACCTCCACTTGTGTGAAGCAGGGCACTTTTGAGCACAGCCACCAATCCCATCCAGAACGGGATACATTCTGCAAACATATGCCTGGGCACGGTCCTAGCACTTTAGGGAAGGCCAAAATTAGAGACTTGAGATTAGGGAGCCTGAAGTCAGTGGGGAATTCTACAAGCCTTCACTGAAGGCAATAAGAGGGGTTAAAAACCAAATTGGGAAGCTAACTAGTACCCATTACGTGCATGCAAATACAACTGTGTCTTAACACAGCAATACGATCAAGGAAAAACAACTGCAAGCGCAACACCTAATTATTAAAATGCCGAATGATAAGTGTTTGACTGCACTGCACTCTCCATGTTCAGCACCTCACATACATGTGGTCATTGTAGCCCACTTAAACAGCTTCAGCCAGACTCAAACCTGTGATGAGTCTGAAGTACCAACAGGGTGGGTCACAGTTGTGCATCTGTCTCAAAACATTGTAGCAGTCTGCCTATTACCTGTAACCCTATGTACAAGACACTGAATTAAACCCTGAAGGAGGGTAAACCACAACAATTCCTACACCCCTTTCTTTGTTTCATCTTCAGTTACTATTACACATCTCCGATATTTAATTACTTTTTTTGCAAGGCCTCATATACCAACATCCTCAGGACACTAGATAACATTGAACAATGAAGAGTTCTAAATAAAACTTTACCTCTACACATCAAGGAAACATTATTTAGTGTTACTACCTTCCACTTTTAGAAACCTGACGATCAGTGACTAACTCTCATAGCATCCCTGGGCTGCAAGAAAAAAAAATAAATCTCACTTTGGAGTTTGAAAAGAGAAAGAAAAATACAAGTGATGTGAATGCATCCACTGGGCAAGTCAGTCCAGAAGCAGGATTATAGTCGTGACCTGTGATATCACACCACACTTCCTCTCTCCATTTTATCTCAGCTCTCCTACAATGAGGGGTTTTTTTTGAAAGCAAATTTTATGAAAAATGTCTTCTTCATAAGACACTCATCGTTTCCACCCCTCCTTCACAAAAGTCCTTCCAATAGAGAAAACACAAGGTTGCCTTCCCACACAACCCAGTATGACCTCTCAAACCCAACCCACTCTGCAAGCAATCTCCTGCCAGTTCCCTCCCACCCCCAGCGAGGTTCCCAGCCAGCCCACATCTTCACTCCCTTCCCAAAGCAGGGTCCTCAGAAGCCAAGTCAGGGCTGAGTGGCAGGACAGGAGGAGACATGCTTCGGCAAAGAGCAAAGACTGAGGACTCGTTGCCTCGGACACAAAGTTCATGACAAAACGTGTTTCTTTGTAGCCTAAACTATCTCCTGGTCCTCCTATCCAAAGAGTGTTTTCTTCCACTCTGATCCTACCAAAGTTATGCTGCTCCCATGCAGAACTCCCTGGAAATCGGCTGTCTTCCCTGGAGCTAGCCCAGCTGCAGGCAGGCTTAACCAAGCAATGTTTTCCTGATTACATACTCAGATCTGATCTTGCACATGCTGGACTAGAGTTCCCCTTTCTCTCCCCACTGCATGGCAACAGCCTTTAAAAACACACAAGAATTTGGAATGGGTGACAGAGGGCAGGATGAGCAGGAGGACTTATGATCTGCACAGCCTACATTGATATCATCTAGGACATTCATTTGGAAAGGCACTGTCCCCCCCTCTCCTGGGCACCCCGGGCATCTATTTCAGACATTACAGGCTACAGTGGGTGCAAGGGACTCTCATCCCTAGAGCATGTGAAAATTGACTGGAATGCATGAACCAAAGCCTGCACAGTCCAATGACTCCCCCAATGGCAAGTCTCCAGCTGTGGAACCCTCCCCAATTTTGCCTCCTACTTTTTTCCCCGGTCACTGGGAAAAGAATGTGTTTCCTCCAGACATTGGAATGCCCAACCCTTAGCTTGCAAATTCAAATAAAGGCATTTATTCATTTGCTATTCCTGTCACACAAATACCCTGGCACCTGGTTCCTTCCCTCTCCCTAGACCACATTAAGGTAACATTACGACAGAGAATTTAGTCTCTGAAAAGTCAAAAAATTCAGAGTGATGGTTCCCATAGCAATGCTGCTAACTCACAAACATCTCTGTCATATACCCTGTGGCAAGGTCTTGAGAAACAGGAACTCCAGATGAAACCCAAACACCCCCACCCCCTTTCCTCCAGGCAAGTCATGTAACCTTTATGCCATTCAGGGCAACTATCTGCAACGTGGAGATAATACACCCGAGACCTGTTGCGCAGAGTAACTCACACCCAGACTTTCCCGAAGCAAAGGGCATGGAGAGAGCGGCGGCTGCACTCAGACTGATGGCATATGCAATTTGCCCTTGGATTACTGTTTAGACATTGTTTGTTCATCCTGACATACAAGCCAAGCACCAGTAGTAAAGGGCTAAGTTGGGGTGGAATGAATAATGAAGTTGTTCAAAAGCCACAACCAGACATTTAGCCTCTCGTGATCAGTTCAGGCAGAGCAGGCACACACAAAAGAATCGACAGACATAGCAGTGAGAATTATTTTGTGCATGTCTCCTTGTGGCAGTTACCATGGCTGTGGAAATCTTGACTGAGAATTCAATGGAGAGTCAGTTATATATATGCAGGTCAAGCCAAAATACAGAAGGCCAACTCAGAAAGTTCTATGAGAACTATTTTTATAACATGGAAGAGGTCAGGAGATTACAGCCCACTCTCAACACACAACACTCCCCATTTTGATACAAATAAAGCATTCTCCATCTAAAGTTATATAGTATTAAGCAAGGAAGACAGTGGGAAAACCTGATTTATTTTCTGCAGGCCAAGTACTGACTTCTGATATCTGAGGAATATCTGCAAGAGGGGAGAATGCAGGAAGAATGAGGATGTGAAATCCTGTGAAAGCTGTTAATTTACAAGGTTTGAGTGCCTCGCTCTGATTTTCAAATTCCAAGGTTAGGTTATACACTTCAGAACAAGGGCCTCACAGAGATACAAACAATCTGTAAGCACAGCAGATACTTCCCTTGGTCCAACAGGCAAGACAGCATCCGTGTTTCTGCTCCTTAAAGTTGTCAGTCAATAGCAGAACCAAGTCAAGCCTGTTCCAAATGGACCCTATGCTAACTAAGGAAGGCTCACACTGTGAACAAAGTTTAGCTAAAATTTAGCAGAGAAAGGAGGTCAAATGCTGGAAAGAAGTTTTTGGACAGAGAACAGAAAACTACAAGAGGTTTTTAACTATGTTCCTCACAACCACCAGGGGCTGACTCCCAGGACAAAGAGTTTGGATGACTTCAGGAAGTTTAAGTGCTATGGGTACTAACCTGTACAAGGTTTTTACAAAATCTGGGATGGTCATCACCAGTGTAAGACTCATCTGAACACTGAGCACTCCTTTCCAGCCTAGTTTAATCCCTTCAGTACTAACCATACACATTAAGGACAGAACCCTAATTCCCTGAAGTTGCCTCATTGGGTATGTGCTGTTCACAGACACATTTCTGTTTTGAAGGCCTGTGACAGCCAATCCTCAATCATGAAACAGGGGTATCCAGGTAGCTGGAAGCATCCCCTTATTCCAGCTTCTTGTGCATACCCAGCACATCCTCATCCTCAGTGGTGGGTAACACCCTACTGCAGTGGGCCTCTATCTCCCAGCTCTGACAGCTACAGAACAATCACTAACAAAGGCACTCAGGAGTAAAAAAGATAGGTTTCAACTGCACATATTCCTAAAGGCTCAGTGCCTGTGAATGTCTCCTTTACACATCTGATCAGACTGCAGAAATTGTGCAAAGGCAGATTTAGCAGGAGCAGAGTCAGGAAGGTCACAGCCATGATGCTCAATAGGGCCTCCTGCACTAAGCAGTGCACAAACACAGATCAGGAGACAATTTCTGTCTTCAGGAGCTCAGAGTGCCACCACAGCAGAAGTAACACAGTCAGTAGCATTTATTTGCCCACCATCTCAAGGCAGGTCAGCAGCAGAGTCAGGCAAAGACCCCAACTCCCTCCTTCTGGGGACATACAACCTCCCCTGGAAAGCCCCACCAAGAGGCAACAGCAAGCAGGCTCACCAATTCCCAGGTGGGTGTTGATAGAGGCATAACGGGCTGTGCCAGTCAGATTCTTGTTTTCCCGATAAGGGATGTGCTGGTGGGTCCGGGCGTCTCGGTACTTCTTGGCCAAACCAAAATCAATGATATATACTAGGTTGCCCTTTTTGCCAAGGCCCATAAGGAAGTTGTCTGGCTTGACATCCCGATGGATGAAGTTCTTGGAATGAATATACTCAATACGGCTAATCTGGAGGAGGGATAGATAAATAAATAAATAAATAGTGAGAGAGGCAAGAAACAAACTTATTTTAAATGCATCTGTTAAAAAACAGTACCCTGTCCAAGACACTGGCCTGTCAGAGCAAGAAAAAGACACTTTGCATTGAATATCAGCAATGACAGCTAAGGAAAAGACACGCTCTGGATGCTGCAGGATCTGGAGATGGAATTTAACCCTCCACACCAGCCCAGTCCTCACTCTGGGAAGGTCACCACTAACATCACAAGGAAGGATGGGAAGCAAGTCTATAGGGAATAAAACTTTGAGCTTCAGCATTGACAGCTGTCAACTTTGAAACTTAGCTGGGCTAGGAAAGGAATGGATCTGTCCAGAAGAGCTAAGGACATGAGCAGTGGAATTAAGATCAGTGCCAATAATTCATCATGCAGGCAAAAGTATCTATATGTGCAACACTAACATGAGGCAAGCAGCAGGCAAAGGAAGGAGGGATGGAGATAAGGAAATGCCATGAGTGTCTAGGTTCCAGGCCCCCAACTTCATCAAGAAATAGAAAGCTGGCAGCCACTTGTGCTAAATGAAGAAAGCCTGGGATACAGCAGCTCTCAAGCAGAGGGGATGGGAGGGGAGTGTGTGTGGGGAGGAAAAGGCATGGAAAAGGAGAGTAGGCACAAATGCTTCCAGAGGAAACTTACCATCTGGTCTGCCAGCAGCAGAACTGTCTTGAGACTAAATTTGCGGGAACAGAAGTTGAAGAGATCTTCCAGGCTGGGCCCCAAGAGTTCCATCACCATCACATTGTAGTCTCCCTCTGCTCCACACCACTTAATGGAGGGGATACCCACTGGAGAAAGAAAAGGATTAAGCCCAGGGAACAGAGAGAATAGATGTTGAATCCCCTGCTGAGAAGATCATGTGTAACACCAAATAATTTCTTTTCTAAAGCCCTCCAGAATAATTTCCTTCTCCAACCACTCCCCCGGCCCCATCCTTTCCTCCCCATCTCACCTCCTCCCTGCATCATCTTGTAGAACTTGCTTTCAATGTGGAGCTGAGGATGCTTGGTTTTGACACATTCCAGTTTGATGGCCACCTCTTCACCAGTCGCAATATTGGCTCCTGCACAGGAATGAGAGTGAAATGAAGATTGCACAAGCTTCTACTGAAGTTAAACACTTTTAACAAGGCCTGTACAGATGCCAAAACCTTAAGATTTGCCCTGAAATTTTTTCTGTATGACAGAAATAAGATTCAGCCACTTCATACCATTTCCAGCAATGCCAGTTGTAAATGCAAGCCCAGAGAGAGGCACATGAATAGGAAACCAGGTCTGATACTGAAGTCAGTCTAGAACAACAATCCTACTTGTGAACTGCCTTGTTATCTCAAAAGGTGCCAGACTTTGGAAGGTCAATCTGCACATATCAACAGTACCTAAACTGAGTGGAAGTTGTAGCTTCCTCTGTTCATAAACCTGGCCCCTGAACCCAAGCAGCACCTAAGGCAGTGATATGGAGTATTTCTTCCACAGCAAAATTACTGGTTACCTCAGTTACATCATTTCAATGCAGCCAATTAGTTCAGGATGAGACATTACTAACATGCCAGCTCTCTCTGCTTTCTCCACAGCACTGACCTGCTCAATATAGAAAATTTCTAAATCCCCAGCTTCTCTCTCTCCTGAGGGTTTTAATAATACCTTTATCTTTTGCCAACACAGAAACATTTGCTATTATCACAAATTAGAAGCATGAAGAAATAAGCAGAATCTGGTCCTGAATTAAGCTGCCTGGACACCTTTGTTGAAGGCATTGCTAGACACTTTGCAATGACACTAAACCACCACCCCACACGCTTCCCTCTGAAAACAACTGAGCTGCCAGCTGCAAAAGCCAGCACTCTGGTCCCAAAGTGCACTGTCAAAGAAGGAACAGGCTGCTCTTTTTCTTGTACTAGCTGAAGGGAGTCCAGATGTTTCACATCATCCTAAAATGGAAAGGAGTATCTGTACATGGGTCACGGGAATGACACTCAAGACTTGCTTCTCTCCTCCCCCACCAGGCCTGCTTCACACACTCTGACAAGCCCTTCCTCTTATCTGGAACTATTAGAAATTGCACTTAAACACAAATCGGAGAGCAGCCCTGATTGCGAGCAGCTTATGAGCACCGTTGTAAAACAAATGACTCCAGAACATGCTTGCCAAGCATCAGCTGGATTCAAAGGTGATGTTTTGCAGATACCCCATAGCTAGTTTTGGTAGGTCTGGCTAATTTGTGCCTCCTGAACTCCATGATAAGACTTTAAGAGTTCACAAGGACAAGCTGCAGATAAATCTCTTCACTTATCCTCTTTCACACACCACCTCCAGAGCCAGGAATCAAAGAAAAGAAGGCAATGTTCACACAACTGGATTGCTTCTCCCCATGGATCCTAAAGAGATCCATCTCCAGTTGAAGAGTTCTGGCTTGTACACAAAGTTAGCCAAGAGCTGCCTGCTAGCAAAAACACACAATCTAGATGCTGCAGTGCCGGTTTGAGACAGACAAGCTGCTAGGAATTTGTAAGAGAGCAACAAAAATGATCAGGGCCTAGAGGGATTGATTTACTAAGGAAGATTAAAAGAGCTAAATATGTAACATAGACAAGAGATACAACTAAGAAGGGTGGGGAGGAAGAATGGGACATGACAACAGTCTACAAATATTTGAAGGCTGTAAACACTAAGGAGGGAGAGGAATTATTTAGGGTGCTCTAAGGGAGGGGAAAGAGGAGCAATGGGATTAATTTAATACAGATTTTAACACAGGATCCAGGAGAAGAGAAAGGGAAAAAACCAGAATTAGAGGTAGAAACATTTGCGCAATGACTACTTTTCAAAAGATGCTGGCATTTTCCACTTAAAAACTGGTGTTCAGAAAAACAAGTCTGTACATCCCTTCACTCCACCACAGGACCCTTCTTAAAAGCACCAGGCAGTGCAAGGAGGAAAAGAGCAAGAAAAGGGACTAGTATCTGTCCACATTTTAAATTAGTGTTCAACCACTGGCCCTCATTCAGCATGGAAACACCCAGGACATACAAAAAACATAAGAGCACTTCCTTCCCTTGTCTCTTTGAGCACTTCCTTCCCTTGTCTCTTTCCTCTGCCTTTGTGAAGACTTTCCTCCAAATCTCTGAAGCAGCTCCCCTGTCTGTTCCCCAGAGAGAATTCTCCCTTCTCCCAGTACATTTTCTGACACACAAGCAATGATGAGTCTCTCTGACTTTTTGCAGCATTAGCATTTCGAACGAACCCAATTCCCAGAACATGAGCGGTGGAAACATGAATGAGTTCTCCACATTACCCCTGGTGTTCAGAAACATAAAGATGTATCCACCTACTAGGCTGTCTGGAGGTAAGGAGTGTTATCTGTGAGCACAAAAAGCTGGAAAACGGAAAGCAGGGATAGGCATAAAGAAGACTCCAATTCTTCCAAATGTGATTATGAGACTCAAACGCTAAGATGGCCTTCAGCCCCACACTCTCCGTAGCCCAAACACAAATGTTACTTAGAAAAAGAGGAAACAACCCTGCAGCCTAGAAGAGCACAAGTAGACTCAGAGGATGGCTTGGGTTGGAAGGGACCTTAAAGGTCCCCTAGTTTCCATACCTCCACCATGGGCAGGGACACCTTTCACTAGACAAAGTTGCTCAGAGCCTCATCCAACCTGGCTTTGGACACTTCTAGGGATGGGGTATCCACAACTTCTCTGGGATACCTTTTCCAGTCTCTCACCACCCTCGTAGCAAAGAATTTCTTCTTAATATCTAATCTAAACCCTTTTCAGTTTAAATTCATTCCCCTTGTCCTATAACTATGTGCCCTTGCAAAAAGTCTCTCCCAGTCTTTCTTGTAGGCTTCCTTCAGGGAGGGAAGGCTGGAACTAGGTCACCCCAAAGTCTTCTCTTCTCCAAGGCTGAACAATCTCAATTCTCTCAGCCTTTCCTCATAATAGAGGTGCTTCATCCCTCTAATCATCATTGTGGTCCTTCTCTGGACCAATCTGGCCTATTCTTTGCTGAGAGGGTCACTGTCTGAACTCTTCAGGCTTCTTCCCTCTCCAAACCTCACCACATCCTACAAGTTGCTCCCTGTACTATTTCTTGGCTAGAGATCCACCCAGATTGAGACCACCACTAGCAAGGAGGGAATTTAAGGGCAGGAGTCTTTCTGATCCTTTGTTCCATGCTTTGACCACCATCTTTTTTAAAGCTACAAGTACAAAAGCAACAGTTCTGTGCTCTCTTCACAGGCTGGAAAGCACCATGTTTCAGACAAATACAGCAGAGTCTGCTAGCTTCAGCCACTCGAGAGACTGAATGTAGGATGGGGGATAATTCCTAACATCCTCCCCCAGTCTCGCTCCGCTGTGGGGGCTGCACAAATTCAACTCATTCATCACAAGCTCTTTGAAACAGGGCCCCGGGGACAGAGGATGTCACCGGCTGAACAGGATCTTTTCAGAGTGAAATCCTACTGCATGTCTGATACAATAAACACCGCCCTCCCTGAGCATCGGGGGCAATGGGCAGAGGCCCCGCACTCCCCACCGCCTGTGCCCCTCTGCACAGCCTGCCGAGGGAAGAATGGAGTGCTGGGAACAGATGGATGAAGGCAGATAGGGCGAGAGAGAGTTAACAAGCCAGGAAACAAAGGGAAGGCACTCCCCTCCCAGCAAGGGAGGAGCCTGCCACCAGGAACTGTCCCCAGCCAGCTCAGGTCCCAGCATGCTTTGTCTGCCCAGCTCCTCTCCACCACCAGTGTGCATCCCGGCCAAACGATTCCTACACGTCCAGCAACCCTCCCCTGCCTCTTGGCCAGAACCTCCGACAAAGCACCTCCTCTTCCAGTGGCCCAAAGGTCTCGGCAATTCCTCTGTAAACTGGGTTTTGCCCTTCTGAATGAGCATTTTTAGAGGTAAATGAGCTAGCCAAGGCCCATAGGCAGCCTGATCTCATTTCCCACCTCTCAAACCAACATGGGGAGAATATTTCACCTAGCACACCTATCCCTAAAAGTAGGGCACAGAAGGAATGTGCTTTAAGACCCAGCTAAGGATTAACACAGTCCATCCTTTGTGTCTACTCATGTAGAAACCCAAGTTTTCTTCTGACAGACAAAAAAACCTAAAACAAACCCCAAAGAGGACAGCAATGACACTAAACCACCACCCCATACTGCTTATGGAGCAGGTGAAGGTAATAACACTCTGAAAGAGAGAAGCTGAGGATAAACCATACAGTCCCTGCTAATCCTCAGAGACAGACAAGCCCTGCTCTGTGTCCAAACCATTATTAAAGGAGAGAACTGTGAGGTGAACCTGGTGCAGGAGAGGAGTCCTCGTGAATGAGTCCTTCTGTCTGCAGAGCAGGCCGTGAGAGCACAGCATGAGCACAAGCGTCCTCCAGACGCACCACCACAGACTACATGCCCAATCCCTCCAGGCTGGGGAGTCACCCAGGCTCCACAAAGTCTCGCTATCGCTGCTTCAAAACATGCTGGCTTGCACCTCAAGGAACATCACAAGGGCTTTGATACTGCATTCAAGTAACTTGGTTGAATCCTGCTGTGCTCACCACACCGGGTCACTGGGCTTCCTCTGTTTGGTGACAGGCAAGGCAGGCACAACCCCCTCACCAGGGGCTATTTTCCATACCTGCTTTGCACAGGTGGATGACCTGTTACACGGTACAGAGCGATACAGGATCAGGCCTTTCCGTTTTTTCCTCTCCTCACACGTACCCCAGAGGCTTCGCAAGATCCTGACAATTTTTACTGTCCTAGAGAGGATCTGGAACACTTCAATCCCTAGCATAGGTGGAAAATGCTGTGTCTGAGCTATCACCCCTGAATCCTAGCACTTGGGAATTAAAAGCACCCAAGACACTGACTGGTTGGAGGGTCACAGAGGAGCAGCATACAGGAACGGGCTGCAGTAAAGGCAGCACACAGAGGAACTGGGATCCCAGGTCCATTATCTATCATTTTTGTTCATGTTCTGGATAAAGGTGGCAAAAAAGCCTGTTACCGATGATTCCCACAGGACACTTAATCAAGAGGGGCTGCCAACACCAATCAAGAGAGAATAATAAAGCAAGAGAGAACTGGAGATAAAACCCAGAGGTTGAAAACAGACAGCGATTTACAATCACAGGAAAAAGTAATCTGAACTAGAGGTATTCAATGAAAGGGATTTGGGGAGGTATGGGAAGATGTTGGAGATCCTAAAAGATCTCTCCTACAATACAGCTGACAGTGCATTAAGGCCAATTCTGCAACCTGATAGTGTTGGTGATGGGGAAAGCCAAGGAGACCCAAAGCAGCCTGTGTAGAGGCATCATATTACAGATCACTCGAGGGTAGTCCTCCACTGCCAGGCACTGGAAATGCCACACCTTAAATGCAGTGCTGGCTCCAAGCTGCTCAACAGATGAAGAAACTAGGAAAAATTGAAGGACCAGCAAAAGGTAGGAGTGGTGGATGTACTGGGAAGCAAAATACAACTCAACAAATTAACAGTCAAGGAGCATATGATGGCCACCTGCAAGTACCCAAAAGGTGCAGACACCAAAGCAGAGGGCAGCCCTTTTGCCAGGCTGCAGAACCACAGCGGAACAGCTAGTGGTGAGAACCAGAGACAGGTAACACCAGCCCTCATGGAGGGATTGAGCAGGCTGCTAGGTAGTCTCGCCACTCTGGCCCCACATGGTTTGAGCCAATAAAAGCATGAGCAGGCAAAGCATCAGGGAACATATCTACACATCAGCACACTGGCTTGGAAGAACTGCTACCCAGGTGACCTGCTGCAGTAACAGGAAACCCAGCACCTCATGGGCTCTGTCCACTGAGCTTCCAGCTCAGGTCATTCCAGCCATTAACTCTAAATCCCATTACAGAACCAACAGATCTGGGCCCCAGGACTTCAACCAGGCCAGGCTCTCTGACCTGTTTTACACCTCCTAGTCTCAGACCTTTCTCTTACAGGTCCTGGACCACCTCTTCCACTACCAGTCTTCCCAAAACTGTATTCCTTCTATTCTTGAAGGAATAGCTATGACCTCCCTTTCCACCACGCACTCTGTGAACAGAGTTTATACCCACATACACCCAAGCTCAAGAAAAGGAAGTGAGAATGCTGGAATAGGGTGTATGACAAATATGTCCCAAACAATCCAAATCTAAATCAGTCTGATCAACCACCACTGTCTCCAGTATGTGGTAAGGCAAAGCTGAGCTCATCCCCCTTTCTTTGCCCTGAGAAGGCCAGCAACCACTAGCAGTATTCCATCAGTTTTTTTTTCTCTTCTCCACCCCTTCCAACCTTACATGGTGCCCACAAATACCAACAGGCAAGAAAAACAACCCCAAAACAGTGATGCAATTGAGAAAACCAACCTTGAGACAGACTCTCACACTCACCTAGGTAAATGTCTCCAAACGAACCACTGCCAATCTTTCTGCCCAGCCGGTATTTGTTTCCCACTCGAAGCTCCATGGTTCAGTCGTGCTGAGAATAGAAGCACAGAAAGAGCAGTGTCAGAGCAGAAACAGGAAGTGAATCATGTAAGACTACAGAAGAGACCTCCCCATTTCACCCAGAGGCTGAGTAGTTTTGAATCTTGAAATACTTCATTTTCTACACGACTTCTATCACCTCTCCTGATGTCCTGAACGTCCAGGGACAGCATGAGCAAGAAACACTGCAGGACCAGAACACTCTCAAGCATGTTTTTCCCATGGTCCCATTATCAGAATGAAGCATGATTGAACCTCTTCCCCAACATTTTGCTCAGAGACTGGGGAGACGTTCAGGAAACCCCTTCTGAGAAGGTTTCAGTGCGTGATCACGCCACACCACTGTAAAGAGGTACTGCTTCTTGCACCTTACAATACCTGGCACTGGCCTTGTGAGACCAGAAGGGTCAGGCATAAAAAGCCCTGTGAGGAGTTTCTCTCTGACACAGCCCTACCCCAACACCTCAGCCGTGGTGAAGCACAGGAGCCAAGGGTTGCAAGAGACAGACAGACTGCCAGGAGCGTGAGACTCCATCGCTCCTAGGCAGGGGCCGGCACAGGGGACTGGGAGGAGACATCTCGCTGAACTGAACCCTGCCAGGCACACACACTGACTAGGAACACCACTTGCTCATCTCCACACACTTCTGCTGATGGGATCACCACCTCCTTTGGCCTACCTGAGCCTCTCTATCTCTCTTGCCTACCTAGGTGTGCCAGCTGTTTGTTTTTAGCAGCTCAGGCCTTTCCTCATCCTTTTACCTGAGATGATTAGCTAACCCTTTGACCTGATACACCCCATCAACATGCCCAGGCTCAGCCTACTCATCTACCACAGAAAACCAACTAGGTGGAAGGACCACAGCCATAGGGTTTGTTCTCTCTTGCTAACCTCAACTTCTGCTGCAAACACCTTGGCCAAACATAGCTCCAGCAGTTCCCTCTTCTTTCCCTTGCCTATTCTATGGCCGCCAACTTATTCTAGGAACCACATCTCTTCCCGAGACAGTCAATGTGTCTCCTTTTACAGAGATTTGCCACAGTCCTAATTTATGCAATGCCACATTATTAGCGTACAAAATGCAGACACAGAGCCTGTTGGGGACAGGAAAGGTGAGGAATGATTCATGTTTTCACAAGTGGGTGCGAGGAACTTTCCCTTGCTGGAGCCTGGTGGGAAGAAAGCATCACTGAAGGAAAGAAGGGAAAAATGGCCTTGTGAGAGAGAAGTACAAAAAAAAATAATCCCAGCTACAGGATTCTGGGCATACTATAAACCCAGAGCTGCTTCTCCTGCCCCAGGAGATGGGATTACAGAAAGAAGAATGGACGGGCTGCGGAGATGTACAGGGAAATAATCCTATCAAGGCATTCAGGGGACATTGTGAACCCTGAAAGCAGAGCTGCAGTCACCAGAAACCACACACACAAAACACTCAGAGGTGGAGTCCCCTCACCTAGTATTTGCTTATGCCTGTGGGTTTCTGTGCATCTAAAGTCTATAAAACCCTGTGGCTATTTCTGACTTTCTTACTACAAGGAATGTAGGCAGAGCCTTGGGAACTGAACCAGGAGGCAGGCATACCTGGGTGAGGGCGCAGCAAACAGACATGATTTTAATCCGCTGCCTGCTGTTCTGTATAACCACATTAACATACATCTGACTTGCTTACACTCCTACTCCAATAAACGATCAAAGGTCTGTGTCCCCGGGAACCTGTCACACCACTGTCAAGACAGCTCTCCATCCTCCTTCCTTCATGGAGTGTTTACCCAGGCCTGTGAGCCCCAAACACTTCCACTTGAGTCCAATTTCCAGCTGGGGCAAGCACAGCTGAGCACACGGCAGAGAGCAGGCAAGAGGTTCCAGTGGGGTCTGCTCTGCACCAGGACACAGCAGGTACTGCTCTGCAATGCCACAGTCCCAAACCTAAATTCAGACCCACCCTTCTGGGACAGGCAGGAACCAGGTTAAGAAGAGTTTCTCACACAAGGCAGCGGCCCTTGTAGCTGATTAAGCAACAGGCTCCAAAGGGGAATCTAAAAAATGCTCCGGGGCGCGGGGGTGGAAGCGGGAAGCAGGATAATGGAGTAAAAAAAAATCACGGTCTCGCACAGCTGTCATTTTGCCTTATCTCCCCCCCAACACACATACATACACAAGTGTGAGTAGAAAACCTGGGTGGAGGATAGCCAGAGAGCGAGAGCCTGGATTCCTGGTAAGAGGGCAGGACACACACATCCCACCCCCTCAACAACTGCTCCAGGAGTTCAAACATCTATCCCATTTGCTTCTACTTCACACGCGAACCCCCACCACCATCTACAGCTTCCGCCCTTTATCTTCTGATCTTCAGGTCTACTGTTACAAAAAGGAAGAAAATTGTACCCATAAAACATATATTAATTTATATATGAAATTTATATCACCCCTCTATGTATTATTTATACATGTAAAATTTAAAAAAACCATCCCTCCTTTTCACACCTCCCCCAAGGCTTTAACTCCCCCCAGTCCTGCCACCCTTTCTGCACTCTACAGCCAAGGCAGCATTCCCAGGGGCTGCAGGGCAATCATTTAGTTAAACCATTTAGTTTTCCATAAGGGATTAACACACATACAACCTCAGAGCGAGAGTGTGCTCTGCATGAGCGTTTGCATACGTGAATATCCAATACTACACAGCCTCAAAAAAAAAATAATAATACTATCCAGCCGCCAGCGCTGCTGCTTCCCCACACACACCATTTTGCACCAGCCCCTTTTTATATAATATAAAATACCCACGTACAGGCACAAAGGCCATTATATAAACACACGATAAGAGTTGATATCACACTGCTGTGCCAGCAACGATGGCGACCAAAGATGTGGGGACCATCTTGGGGGGGGGCCTAAGAGGGGCTGGGGGGGACAGGAGGGACGTCTCTGTCCCACCCGAGGGGGTCGGGAATGAAAAGATGCCCTGTCTAGCAAAAACCATACAAAACCAAACCCACGGCTCCATAATGGAGGCTGCCGATCCCAGCTCCGGCTTTGAGTGGAAGTGTGGGGAGTGGGGGCTGCTTTACCCATAGACCATTAAGGCTCTACACGGCTTTTTGGGTTTTTTTGGGGGGGAGGCGGTGTTTGAAGGGAAAAAAAGGATGAGACTGGGAAAATAGTAATTTGAACTGGCTTAAAAATATGAAGGAAAAAAGAAAAAAAAAAATTACATTTTGATTGAAATGCAAAACACCAATCCCCTCCAGACCCTTAGACACTTACAAAAAGGAGATCAGGAAATAAGATGGGGGGAGAAAAGAAATCCCAAGCACAGAGCATTTGAACTACATTTGAGGAAGAAATAGCCACAACAGGAAAACAGGGAAGGGGAAGGGGGGGGACGACACACACACAAAAAAATATTATAATAAATATGTCCCTTACACCCCCACCCCCTACAGGCAAACACTACGCGAAGACAGCCGTACCCGGGCTGTTATTTTTCCGGATAGGTAACAAAAAGCTGCCACCCCCGGGAACGGCGCTGAACTTCGCCTCGTCCCCCAACTCGCACCCGGCCGCGGCCATCGACCCCCGCCCCTACCGC